CCTATCCCCGTGTGCCTTGGCAGTCTCAGGAGAGAGAGAGAGAGAGACACAGATGATATATATTGTATATTATTATTTGTCCGTTACTTTGTTTCTAGTCCCCGCTTCATTCTCTGATATACATGTCTAACGATTAAGATGCACTTCCCGTAAGTTACATTACTGTTCACACTCCACATGGATGTCTTCAGGCGAATATTTCCGTTACTGTGCTTTTGGAAGAACCATACCATCATGGATAAGAACGAAGCGCACGACACTCAAGATGTTGTTTGATTAATTACATTCAATTTTCTTGTCTGAATATAATTTTTTACGTAGGCGTACGATTATCGCGTGTATAGCTGTTATATCCAACTTACTCTATACAAATACAAAATTGTTTATATTGTCCCACAGTACACATGAAACGACTTACGCTTAGGTGTTCCGTATTTATATATAGTCTAGTCTAAAAAAATCTCGCGTATAATAATATATGTATATGCTAAGCACGATGTGTGTATAAAATTACATGTAAAACGAAACGATTTACGCGGTACGTAAGCGACTCGAGGATATAGAATTAGCGTGTCGATATTCCGGCGCGCGCTCGCGATGACTCCTTGCATTACGCTTCTGCTCATGCCGATACTTCGATTATATACTACTGAGAATTTGCGTGATCGGTTATTCCATTACAGTAACTATAATGTCATCACATTTACTAGCGTATATGAAAATCATCGTATGTCTCGACGTAGAAATTCAATCATGCAATGGTGTATACTTCTTTTTTTTTTCTCTCTTCTTTTAATCTTAAGGCCGTTTTTCTGCCAGGCCCGTGAATTACACGTGTGATCATAATGATCTCCCAAAGAGCTTCCAAAAAACGCGAATGGTATACAGGTAGAAGTGTAAACGTATACGAACTTAGAGTTTGCCGCACAGAATTCCGAGTTATGTGTGTCTCTCTGTATTCTTTTTTTTTTTTGCGTGTCGGGAAGCATACCGGCGATCGTTCGGCTCATGCAGCTTTGGATTAATCTCTCTAACGATCATGCAGTCGCAAAGTCGTATTATCGATTGAAGACTTATTCACACTAGTTCACTCTTATTATTACTCGCTCGAAGATTAATCGCTATATTTCCAAAAAAGATTCCTTCGATAAGATTCGCAAATCTTACTAGTGACTT